ACTTCTGAATAACATTTTTACTTAAATTTGTAATACACTTCTAAATTATATATATATATAATATGTGAAAATATAAAAAATACCATTACAGTTTAACACACCCAAGAGTCCCAAGGTTCTGTTGGTGGCCAGCTTAAGGTTGCAGCAAAACCAGGTTGAGAACCACTGGTCTAGACTATTATTGAGCCACTCCCTTTATATCTTGCCTTTTGAATATAAAGTTTTGGTTTCAGTGTTTTACATCAAACAGTAAAATGACGTTTGCTCACAATGGGGACAGTTTCCAGATTGACAGATTGCTGACTTTAAGACCCAGTGGTCAAAGATGATAATGGCAGTATTGAAAAAATTATATTTGTTATTATGATCATGATTTTTCTCTATCAATGCTATCTGACCAGCTATCATCATCCTCAGTTTCAAGTTTTGTGCATGTCTGACCTCTGATATTTATGTGACCACATGCAGTGATCAGAATAATGTTCAACGTGTTTCAGAAGTCATAGGTAAGTAGAATGGGTTAGTGCTAAAGTATATTGAGTAATTCAAGCCTACTGATCCTTGGTATGAATGAAGAATACTTCAAATCTAGTAACCAGTCAAATAATTTTCCATTGTGTTGGGGTTTTCTTCCATATAAGAGAAGAAAGTGTGCTACAATAATAGTATTATATGTTATGATAAAATACAAGGCATAGATTTCTAGCTTGATGTGCATCAAGATTGTCAGTTTTCTAACCAGCAGGCAAAAATTGGGTAAGTATAACTGAAGTAAGAATATACAGTACAGTGGTACCTTGACTTAGGAGTGCCCCAACTTACAAGTTTTCTGAGTTATGACGCTGTATAGCCCTTGTGGCTTAGCACTTCTTTTTAATTATAATAATAATAATAATAATCCGAGTTATGAGCCGTCGCTCGGTCGATTTTTTGCTTTGAGTTGCAAGTCAACATCTGGGTTACGAGCGAGCTGCAGATACACCGCCACTAGTTGGAGCAGCGAATGCCACAACATCCACCCAGCATTTTGTGCTTTTTGTGCAGTTATTTTGCCAAACTTTTTTCTAACCATGGGTCCTGAGAAAGTAAGTGCAAAGGACAGTGCTGAGAAGAAGAAGAGGATGATGTCCATTGAATTAAAATATGAAATCATAGAAAAACACAAGAAAATCACTTTTGTTTTAGTGTTTTCCTTATGAAACTAGTGATCTAGTACAGTTAGCCTCACAAATACCCTGTTTTCTCTTATAATAAGACCTCAGAAGGGCAAGAATGGGAAGATATAGTCAGAGCGATAATTATTTTTACCTCGGGAGTGGCCGCCACTACTCGTCATATAATGACATATTTCATTCATTCTGGAGTATATATCACGTTTTTACGTTATTTATTATGTCATATTAGATCAACTGTGATAGATAAATAAGCCGTAGAGTTGATATTAATGCTATATTGCAGTATTTTCTCCTGCCTCCTGAGAGCCAGGAATTCCGCTGGAAGGGATTAGTGGCATTTCAGTTAATTTCAGTGAGGAAAATTGATTTGATATACGAGCAAATTGAGTTACGTGCTCAGTCATGGAACGAATTAAACTCGTAAGTCAAGGTACCACTGTATTGTCTAATTAAGGATTACAAAACTTTTTTTTATTTAATGTTTTAGGAACACAGTGAATAAGAGTTTGGTATATAATGTATTTAGAAGATGGAGTATACTGATAATAAATGTTGGGGAATACATGCCACCCATTGTTGTCTTTTGAGAATCTTTATTGAAATGAATTAATAAACATGTACATAAAATCAGTGACTGGATAGATTGAAGTATGGTTGAGAGTACATTTGCTGCTTCAGAATAATGAGATACATCCTCTTGGCAATAATGTGAATATAATTGTTATTTCACAGCCCATTTGTAGTTAAAAGATAAGAGCTATGCTCATGGTATCTGTCTCTTAATTGTGAAAATTGTAAAAGTTTTCATCAGTTACTGTACACACTGCCTCCTTGAAGTCCATTTTCTGCACTGCTTTTTTCATACATATATTGTGGCCTTTAGTTTATTGCTGGTTCTAGGAACACTTCCTTATCTCTTTTTGTGAGTTTATGAAGGCTTGCTATGTCAACTTTTCTTTTCTTTATTCCAAGTCTGCATTATGAGCACCTTAAGTCTTCTTTTTACAGTAATTTACATCTCTATAGTCTGAAATTCACTGCATCATGCCTTAGAACTTTTTATTCTTTCAATGAGGATGCTATAGTGTTCATTTAGGCAAGTGTAAATTTAGGTAAAAATATGCCATGCAGCAGGATCTTTCCCACCTGTCTCACAGTTGGTCTACGAGTGATGTCTCACAGTATGTCTACAGGCAATGTCTCACAGCAGGTCTACAGGCAAGGGCATTGTCTTTATGTGGGAGGCCTGGTAGCACTCTTAATGTAAACTAACTTCCTACACCCTCAGTGTTACATGCATACACATCCCAAACCATCCTTAGTCG